CCCCCTCTCAAGCCAAGGACGCTGCGACTGACCGTACAGTCAGAAACTTTTTCACTATTATCTCTTCACAAACTACATTCCCCCTAGAAGACAATAATATGTTAGACTTATCGTGTGTTTTCCCTCAACTTACTATATGCATTGTTTGTCTTTTAAGAGGCTAGTGTTACATATATTGTTCTTTCACGAAGCATTGGACTCACAGACCATTGCGATGGCGAGCGTATCTAGCAAGAAGCGCCCGTGTCAAGAAAAGTAATCCGCGTATAGAAGACAGGATTTCAAGTCCTGGGTTACCATCATATATATTTAGTGTGCTTTTCCTCAAAGCTTTCATCCTTTCGGCAATCATTTCCTCCTTCATTCTCACTGCCTTCCTGACTTGCCCCCTCCAAGCAACCCGGGCCTTGGATTTATTATACTTAGTTTTATGTTAGACATAAAGAGCACCTTCCAGCTTTTGTAACAATGGTAATTGTTTGCTCTCATATTCATTATATTTATGTGCAGAAGATTGTGTGCGTGTGTATGCGCGCGCGCGTGTGGAAGTAGAGAGAACAGTTCGCCTTCTGCTGTTGTTCATTTTGTAGTCTTTGCTGTCGCTGTGTTTTTTTTTTCCTTCATGTTTTTCTTTACATATTGATGATAACTATATGATAAAAGTTATATCAGGATGATTGTGATATTTTTCTAATAATAGATGCTGTCAAGATAATCTTTCTTAGAACAACATCGTCATTATTATCATCATCATTCTAATCTGTTGTGCCATTAAACCTTAAAGAGGGCTTGCAGACATAGCTTCTATGTCATGATTTGAGGTTAATGATTTGACGATCTGAAGATAATAACAATGACTTGAAGACGATGATAGTGAGAATAATGATGGTCACGATGGTGAAATGTGTAATTATGATAGTCAGATTAATAATGGTCACGCTGTTCATGTTAATAATGATGATAATAAAGATCGTGATGTTTTTATTATAATTGATAGTATTTTTATTTTACAGAAGGAGGAGAAGAAGAAGAAGAAGAAGAAGAAGAAGAAGAAGAAGAAGAAGAAGAAGAAGAAGAAGAAGAAGAAGAAGAAGAAGAAGAAGAAGAAGAAGAAGAAGAAGAAGAAGAAGAAGAAGAAGAAGAAGAAGAAGAAGAAGAAGAAGAAGAAAGAAAAGAAGAAAAGAAGAAGAAGAAGAAGAAGAAAAGAAGAAGAAGAAGAAGAAGAAGAAGAAGAAGAAGAAGAAGAAGAAGAAGAAGAAGAAGAAGAAGAAGAAGAAGAAGAAGAAGAAGAAGAAAAAGAAGAAGAAGAAGAAGAAGAAGAAGAAGAAGAAGAAGAAGAAGAAGAAGAAGAAGAAGAAGAAGAAGAAGAAGAAGAAGAAGAAGAAGAAGAAGAAGAAGAAGAAGAAGAAGAAGAAGAAGAAGAAGAAAAAGAAGAAGAAGAAGAAGAAGAAGAAGAAGAAGAAGAAGAAGAAGAAGAAGAAGAAGAAGAAGAAGAAGAAGAAGAAGAAGAAGAAGAAGACGATGAAGAAGAAGAAGACGAGGTGGAGGAGAAGGAAACAGATGATGGTCACGACGATGATAAGGAAGAGAAGAATTATGATAATCTTTGTAATTTACCAGGACCCAGCATTAAACCATCCGTCTATTGTAGCATCGCCACGCAATGTGCAGCATACCAAAGACATCTGCTCCATGGCAGGGAACCGCTTGATGACAACAGGGTCGCCTGTAGCGCAGTGTTTAGGCCAGAACCTACCAACTTGAAGGTTAAGGGTTCAAATCCTAATCCAAAAGAACTTGGAAACTTGACCTGGCCCAAGATTGACCTAATCTAAAATAACTACCAGAAAATGTGATGGGAATTAAAGTCGATAGGATGAGGGGGAACATCATCCCAGCAGGGTGCCAAAAAAACTGTCATTACCGTCTTTGAGGTGTGGGCAAGAGGTCGTTAAGCCTGATGGTTTAATGCGCGTGGCTAGTGCTGTCGCCAAGGACATTGCAGAGTATGATTTGATTTGTATTCCCGACAGAACGAAATTCCCCAACCTTACCCAGGATTCGAACCCTGGTCTCCCGCAAAAGAGGATTTCCAAACGATATATACAAATGTGGATGGGACAACATGCACCCAATACGTCAATGGCGTGGGAAAAGGTCATTTAGGTCAGATCCTTCCCGGTCAAGGGCGAACTACCTGGATTACCAGTGCGCCCGTTACTAACGCCCACGAGCTACCTGGAATACACGCGTGCCCGTTAATAACGCCCACGAACTACCTGGAATACACGCGTGCCCGTTAATAACGCCCACGAACTACCTGGAATACACGCGTGCCCGTTACTAACGCCCACGAGCTACCCGGAATACAAGTGTGCCGTTACTAAAGCCCACGAACTACCCGGAATACACGCGTGTCCGTTACTAACGCCCACGAACTACCCGGAATACACGCGTGTCCGTTACTAACGCCCACGAACTACCCGGAATACACGCGTGTCCGTTACTAACGCCCACGAACTACCCGGAATACACGCGTGTCCGTTACTAACGCCCACGAACTACCCGGAATACACGCGTGCCCGTTATTAACGCCCACGAACAACCCGGAATACGCGTGTGCACGTTACTAACGCCCATAAACTACCCGGAATACCCGTGTTTTCGTTACTGACGCCCATAAACTACCCGGAATACCCGTGTTTTCGTTACTAACGCCCATAAACTACCCGGAATACAAGTGTGCCGTTACTAAAGCCCACGAACTACCCATAATACACGTGTGCCCGTTACTAACGCCCATGAAATACCCGGAATACAAGTATGCCGTTACAAGCGCCCAGACATGTGGAACATGGATAGAGCAGGTGGTATAGTTATTGCCAAGACAAGCTTTCTTAGTTAGAACATAATCATCATTATTACCATCATCACTTTTACCATCATCACTATTACCATCATCATTATTACCATCATCATTATTACCATCATCACTATTACCATCATCACTATTACCATCATCATTATTACCATCATCATTATTACTATCATCATTATTACCATCATCATGATTACCATCATCATTATTACCATCATCATTATTACCATCATCATTATTACCATCATCATTATTACCATCATCACTATTACCAACATCATTATTACCATCATCACTATTACCAACATCATTATTACCATCGTCATTATTACCATCATCACTATTACCAACATCATTTTTACCATCATCATTATTACCATCATTATTATTACCATCATCGTTATTACCAACATCATTATTACCATCTTCATTATTACCATCATCATTATTACCATCGTCATTATTACCATCATCACTATTACCATCATCATTATTACCATCATCATTATTACCATCATCATTATTACCATCATCACTATTACCAACATCATTATTACCATCATCACTATTACCAACATCATTATTACCAGTATCATTATTGCCATCATCACTATTACCAACATCATTTTTACCATCATCATTATTACCATCATTATTATTACCATCATCGTTATTACCAACATCATTATTACCATCTTCATTATTACCATCATCATTATTACCATCGTCATTATTACCATCATCACTATTACCATCATCATTATTACTATCATCATTATTACCATCATCATTATTACCATCATCATTATTACCAATATCACTATTACCATCATCATTATTGCCATCATCATTATTACCATCGTCATTATTACCATCATCATTATTACCATCATCAATATTACCATCATCATTATTACCATCATCATTATTACCAATATCACTATTACCATCATCATTATTACCATCATTATTATTACCATCATCATTAGTGCCATCATCATTATTGCCATCATCATTATTACCATCATCACTTTTGCCATCATCACTATTACCATCATCATTATTACCATCATCATTATTACCATCATCATTATTACCATCATCATTATTACCATCATCATTATTACCATCATCATTATTACCAATATCACTATTACCATCATCATTGTTACCATCATCATTATTACCAACATCACTATTACCATCATCATTATTACCATCATCATCATTACCATCATCATTATTACCATCATCATTATTGCCATCATCATTCTCATCTGTAAAGCAGGTATACGTTATATAGGGCTTACAGACTAGTCTTCTGTTCCATTTTATCCGCTGCAGTCTGTTCGATATAATGGGTGGAGTTTAGTCCAGCATCGTTGGATTATCCCAGCAATGTTTATCTGAAGGTTTCTGTTGGTAGTAACAAATATCTGAATTGTATAGGGCCTTCATTGTCTGTTATTCTCCTAGGGGCTGCAACACAACAATCTGATCAACTCTGAGACTTCACGCATTTCATTCTGTGTGACACAACAACAGAGAATCTCCAGGATATTCCGTTCAATCTGCATCGAGGCTATACTTAGGAAACCTGTAACAGCGACTCCGACTGGGTATGGTCTACAATTCTGTTCAGACGAGAACGTCGGTGTCTCTGAGGTCAAACAATGACACAAAAACCGAATCACAATGTTGATAATATACAGTATATGGATAAGACACGAAGACAGGGACCCAGCCACCTAGGGACTAGAGCACACCGAGGCTCCCAAGCTCCAACCTCCAGTACAATGTAGACGGTAGCTAGCCAAGCTACACCCACCACCCCCTCCCACTTTTTCCGTTTTTCCATGTAGCGACGTACTATTCTAAAAAATTTTTATAGACACCGTAATTTTTGATACTTGTTTTTTTATTCCGCACATTATTATTATTATTATTATTATTATTATTATTATTATTATTATTATTATTATTATTATTATTATTATTATTATTATTATTATTGTGAAGGACTTGAAGAAAGCTAACGCCCTAGAAAGTGTGTAAGATCGCTCCTAGTATTAGTTTTTTTTTAATGGCGACCGTGCATGATGAGTTTACAAAGTAATAGCACACACTTATAGTGAGCTGGTTGGTAATAAATGATATGCATGATTCGTTGAGGTTATTTGGAGTATGTTTCTCAAATTCTTCTGTAAATACACATGTTTGTGCAATGGTCACAAAAGGGACGCTACTCTCTGTACTACCGATGCATTGTCTGCCCTTGGAATATCCAGGACAAAAACGTGTACCTGACATCTTGCATCCCTTTGTCCCTTTTGCAGACGGACAACGTCTGGTCATGTAGGGCAACCTATTCATTGCTGCAGCGTGTGTCTATCACGTGCCAACAGTTGAGCTCCTAGAACAATGCTGCACCTCTCATTTTACGCAGCTGGAACCAGTGGGCATTGTCCAGTCTGAGGACTGAGGGAGTTGTGGAATGGATCGTAATTTGACCTCGCCGTGACGCCGGGATGCAACAAATAGAAGCTGGCCTGGTCAGTGGCCTCTCGGTGTGGCACGTGTCTGATCAGAAAGAAGATCAGATATCTTTTTTTTTGTTCGGACATGAAGTTCTTGAACCGTCTGCTCTATTGGTCAGCTCGGACACCAACAGATAGTACATGCACACTACAAGTGGCAGATGTTCCTTTCTTGTGTGCAACCGGCGTCCTGTCGGCATGAATACTCATAGACAGATGCTTTGGGAGACTGAGAACCTGTAGGTTTTGTTCACAGCTAGTGGTTTAGTTTGCGTTAAACGATCATAAACATCACAAAGGGTAACAATTGTTCACAAATTATAAACAGGAAAAAAAAAAAATACTGTTACTGTGACAGCTAGTAAGATTTATGGAAAGAGAGTTAAAGGACTACAGTAATAGAAGAGTCATGGCGAGAACGGTTGTCAGTGCGTGAAATGCTGGTTTTGAAAAGCTTGATCGCCCAAGCCAGTCTGCAAGGATAATGTTAGAAGAAAAAAGTAGTTGAAGAGTGAGTTTACGTTGTATCTTTTCTTTGAACCTCTTAGTTGTATCCTTTTTCTTGTACTTGTTATTGTTTCACTCTAAATAAAAGTCAAAGGAAAAAACAAAGTTAAAGACCCTTTTCTACGCCTTCAAGCGCATTGGGCACATAGGGCTAGACCTATATTTGTATAGACCAGTCGGTACTTAATGGGCGATGTGGTCAGTAATACCACTCTAAAAATAAATCCCCCTGAAAATCGTGTCAACAAAGCGGAGAAGAAGGATAATCGAGAGAAGCGGCACTAACAGCAGTAGCACTAACAGTAGCAACAGCAGCAAATGTAGCAGCAACAGCAGCAGCAGAAGAAGAAGAGAACATTATGTGATGATGATCATGAATATAATTTTAGTAACGGCCTAAATATACGACCTCTATTTTAGTTTTGTTTTTGTGTTTTGGTAATAGCTTTCACATGCGATGCCTAAGAAGAATACTTGGCATTAGGTGGCAGGACAAAATCACAAACACTGAGGTACTGGAAAGAGCAGGTACTACAACAGTCTTTTCCATGCTGAGTCTACGGAGGCTCAGGTGGCTGGGTCACGCCTGGAGAATGGAGGATGGCAGAGTCCCTAAGGACATCCTTTATGGTGAATTAAAGACAGGAAGAAGATGTCAAGGCCGACCTCTATTGCGTTATAAAGATGTGTGCAAGCGGGACATGAATGATATAGGTATTGAGGCGGACTCATGGGAACCAAAATGCCATGGACCGTGTTATTTGGAAAAGGCATACCAGGAAGGGAATGAGACTGAAGGAAGAAATGATCGCAGAGAGGATGAGAACTGAGCGTCTGAAAAGAAACAGATTAAACATAAATGCTGTTAACAATGGTCCTGAAATCCCATGCTATCATTGTGGAAGACTTTTCTTGACACGGGCGGGTCTTGCTAGTCACACTCGCCATCGCCATGGGCTGTGAGTCTCATGCCTCCTCATAGCGCAATATAACACTATCGACTGGAAAGACGGTAAGGTGCCAATGGTTAAAAAAAAAAAAAAAAATTTTTTTTACAACCCCCCCCCCCCCCCCGACCTTACACTCCCACCCCTCCCCACCAACTCCAACAGTAGCGAACCACCAAGTTAACAACCTCCAAGCTACTCCTACAACTCCGCACCCTCACCACCCCAAGTATTTCTGTGTCCCGGGTATGAAGTACCCACGCCACAACAGCAACAATACCCAGAGACACACCCGCCTCTCCAGCACCACCTGTCGGTCGCGAGCTGGGAGCGTGCCAGGGGACAAGCCTGGATTCTTCAAGTCCCGTGCCACTCCAGTGCCTTGACCCGGCAGAGGAAGGGGCGTTAGCTGAACAAAACTGTCTTGTCTTCCTTCACTCGTCTTTGTAATGAGTTTTCTATCCTTTTGTTTGCAAACAAAACTCAAAAACATCCTTTTTCCTGCGCAATTTTTCTGGAGTAATGGAAGCGGTACTTGAGATCGTTCTCAAGTGTTGGCAATGGCTTCCTCGATAGTAATAAAGTCATTAATTGTGGTCCCATCACAGGACAGGATGGAGGTGCCCCTTGTCACAGGCCGTATGTCAGTGACACACGGGCCATGTGGTTAACTAGAAAAAAGTCATTAGTTCATGTCCATTACACATACAAAAAAGGGCTTCAGTGCAACTATTCCACTTTTCTCATCTTTGAGCTCCTCGTCGCAACTATTCCATTTTTCTCATCTTTGAGCTCCTCGTCGCAACTATTCCACTTTTCACATCTTTGAGCTCCTCGTCGCAACTATTCCACTTTTCTCATCTTTGAGCTCCTCGTCGCAACTATTCCACTTTTCTCATCTTTGAGCTCCTCGTCGCAACTATTCCACTTTTCTCATCTTTGAGCACCTCGTCGCAACTATTCCACTTTTCTCATCTTTGAGCACCTCGTCGCAACTATTCCACTTTTCTCATCTTTGAGCACCTCGTCGCAACTATTCCACTTTTCTCATCTTTGAGCACCTTATCTTCTCTTCTTATCAGTGATACTAATAATGGCAAAAGGTTCTACTTTTCTCATAATTGGAAGTCTTTATTGTAACAGTTAGGGCCGGATTTAGTCTTGATCCCCTGAGGCCTCTATCGTTTTAAATTTAAGAAACTTTTAAAAAATATTTATGCCTTTAGAATATGCTTTAAAAAGTTCGTTGCATATCCTTTACAGAACTTTGCAGAACCAAGCCCAAAGTTTTCTGCTGTTTTTTTTTTCCCAGCAAAATGTTAAGAATATGTGGATAACGGAGAAATAATGTTGTTAAAAGAAATTATACAGAATGTGTTTTCATAGCCGCATAAATTATATTATATAATCCTCTAACAGGTTCTAAATTACAAATTCAAATGTTCGTTAAACTAATTTTCTCAAATACACAAAGTCATTGATAATAACGTTCACAAAGCCTGTCGCTGGCTTTACAGTTTTGTTTTCCCCCATCTCAACAGTTTCTCCAGCCACTTAAGACATTTCTTCTGTGCTTCAGGGGACTGCTGTTTCTTGTTCCTTTGTTCATTCATAATTAACTGTTATTAGATATTTCTAGCTTGCCTAATTACCGTCCCTGTTTGACATTATGCACAACAGTGCGATAGTTCACGAAGGGCGGCTCGCAACGTTTAATCAATGAGTTTCCGAAATCAAACTTTTGTTGAACCCTAATTTCTGGCTGTTCGACCATTTCTAGACTTTCGGTTTCTTACAGAGCTTCGATTATACTGCACATTGTTTGACAGAGCTGGCATATTTGTATACAAACTATCGATACCTCACTTCTCAGACATATAAAGACTATAAAGGAAACACTACTTATAAGTCGCTTTTACGACACGTTTCTTAGGAGACAGTGGATCTGTTATTTTACCCCAAAATGGTACCTCTCTCCCATTCCCCCCCCCCCCAACCCCTTTTCCGAGCCCACACAGGGTATCTACAATTTTGCAAAACGTTGCTCGTCGTTTTCAGGTATAAAGAAAATCAGTTTTACAAACGATAAAATCGAATGTGTCGCCCAGGGTTTTTATCTAGTGTGTCTCAGTTTCTCTACAGGATCAATATCATAGCAGCGCCGTTACTTCCCCGGTAAACATTTTAGGCTGGTTCCAGCTTGGAGATCAAATCAGTTGTCTTTTTTTTTTCAAGTCCTTGTATAAATGAGAGCTCGAATTCGTGACCATGTGACGTATAGGCAACAGCCCTAGCCATTTTGTGCAACTGCTGCCTAATTATGAAGCCATGACCGTGCAGTTCTCCCTCCAAAGTTGCAAGTCTGCGAATCTTTGGAAATCTCTACACAACTCAAGAACGCCATCAAGTACAGGAAACTAAGAAAATGTGAATTAGGTTTTATAACGGCCTTCTCTATTTATTAGAAACGGCGTTGAGTTTTAAGACCTCTTTGCTGTCGGTTACTGGAAACTCCATCAACCAAAGATATTCGAGAAAACTGGTGGCGATAGAACAAGTCTAGAGCATGCAGTAAAAGATTGGTGGCGACAGAATAAGTCTAGAGCATGCAGTAAAAGACTGGTGGCGATAGGACAAGTCTAGAGCATGCAGTAAAAGACTGGTGGCGATAGGACAAGTCTAGAGCATGCAGTAAAAGACTGGTGGCGATAGGACAAGTCTAGAGCATTTAGTAAAAGACTGGTGGCGATAGGACAAGTCTAGAGCATCCAGTAAAAGACTGGTGGCGATAGGACAAGTCTAGAGCATGCAGTAAAAGATTGGTGGCGATAGGACAAGTCTAGAGCATGCAGTAAAAGACTGGTGGCGATAGGACAAGTCTAGAGCATGCAGTAAAAGACTGGTGGCGATAGGACAAGTCTAGAACATGCAGTAAAACATTGGTGGCGATAGGAAAAGTCTAGAGCATGCAGTAAAAGACTGGTGGCGATAGAACAAGTCTAGAGCATGCAGTAAAAGAATAATGGCGATAGGACAAGTCTAGAGAATGCAGTAAAAGACTGGTGGCGATAGGACAAGTCTAGAGCATGCCGTAAAAGATTGGTGGTGATAGGACAATTCTAGAGCATGCAGTAAAAGATTGGTGGCGATTGGACAAGTCTAGAGCATGTAGTAAAAGAATGATGGCGATAGGACAAGTCTAGAGCATGCAGTAAAAGTTTGGTGGCGATAGGACAAATCTAGAACATACAGCAAAAGACTGGTGGCGATAGGACAAGTCTAGAGCATGCAGTAAAAGACTGGTGGCGATAGGACAAGTCTAGAGCATACAGTAAAAGACTGGTGGCTATAGGACAAGTCTAGA